AAGACACACTCACATGATAGGGATGAAAGGCTTGCAGACATAGGAAATATCTTTCTCCTAAACCTGGCAATTGTTTTTCTCTAGGGTTTACAATGGAAAATCACTGTTGTTGGTCCTCTTAGCAACCATTTTACACTAGGGCATCTATTTTTATTATTTTCAAATGGAAATATCATGCCCACCATGTTCATTTACTGTGCATCACTCCTGTCTGATAGAGTTGGAAGGTGGTCTTTGAAAATGCCTTAAGTATCCTGAAAGTGTGTAAGTTAAGGACAAAACTTACCCTAGACAGATAACAAGAGGATGCTGGGGGCATTGCCTCCTTCCCCAGTGAATGAGAGCAAATTTAACTGAATTAGTCTGCATACTTTTTCTCTACATGTCTAAGATCGAATATTTGCTCTGAATATTGGAACAATTTGATTTTCCCATGTTCTCAACAGCATCAAAAAAAGTTTTCAGAAAACACCAGGCTCTCCTAGCTGCTGACACGTTTGGAAAGAGTCTGAAGAAGCTTTTTTCCTGAGAAGCCTCTGTGCAAGACAAAATTCAGAGAGGTCATACAGCATAACCAGTAGGTCAGATGTTTCTGTGGTAAACCACCATGTTCTTTTAAGAGCTGCTGTTTTTTGCAACTCTATTAATGTTCCCAGTTGTTTACTTGCTCCCAGGTGTGAAATCAAATGGCAGGAGAGCCAGGCTGGGCTGCAGCGTGACTCAGCGCCCATCGCCGTATTCCTTTGAAGGAAGGACCTGGCAAGCAGCACTACAGGGGATCATGCCTTAAATATGCACATGTAAATATACAAACTTCAGTCCTGAGGAGTAATTTATCTGAGATGACTACTTGCTTGTTCCCAGGAGAGTAAGAAAAGAAAGTGTACAGGCAGTAGGAAAAAGTGTCATTGCATGGTGAGTCTTCCCCATCATCTGCTCTCGCTACTGATTCTGTAGGGTCAAGCAAATATCCTGAATCCTATTCTGGTCTCAGCACTATGGTAAATTGGGACCATCTCCACTGACGTCACTGGAGAAACTTTAGCACATAACCAGTCAGACTTATGGGACTTCAGATCCCATTTTATTAATTTGAATTTATATATTTAGAAAGAGGTTCTTTGGAATGTGCTACATTGAGAATAAACATTTTATGTCCAACTGTGTAGCATTGGTTTACCTAGAGATAAAAACTTGCTTCTTATACCTACACTTAGGAGCCATTCTGCGGTGACTTGCCTTATACACTGACGAAATTCAGTTGAAATAACTCCAGTTACAGTGTGTGACATGATGCAACCTCATTGCAACTCATCTGCAGCAATAACACATATTGCAGCAGAAATGTAAAGAAATATAAATAGATTTTGCTTTCCTAGAATTTGTATGTGAACTCTGAGCGTACATGCAATTCTGTGACAGAAGACACTAAATTATTCTAATGCTTGATATGTGGGAACTGATATCATGTGAATGTAACGTTTATCTGGATATTGAATTACCATTTATTTTGCCTTGTAGGATTGATTATATAATGAGCTACAGAATTTTGTATAGCTACTAAATAAACAACCTATATGAGACTTTGCATGGTCAGGGAAGGAAACTTCTGGATACAACCCTTCCCTGTTACTTAGAAGGAAATGTTCAGGGAATATGAAACTAGTCATTGTGTTGGAGGAAGTGGTCTTAGGAAAATAAAGAGTTTTAAACACATCCATGCCCCTACTCAGTTTCTGGCTGAGCCACTGATTTTCTGTGCAATCCTGGACAAATCATTTAGCTTATATCTATAGTAAATAATGTAAGATCCTGCAGAAATACCCACAGTGACTTTGACTGAACTTTGAGAACTATTTTTTTTCCTCACCTCACTGAAATTTTCAAATCTTAAGAAGCGGGGTCATGTCACATATATCATGTGGTACTGGGATAATAAATGGTACATTTATCAAATGGGGTGAAAGACACCAAACTGTTGAAACTCTTAGGGCAAGATATTTTGTTTGTTGGTTGGGGGGGTTGTTTTTGGAAATAAAAAACCAAATACTTAGTAGGAATAGAGAATTTTAGAAAATAAAAACTTTTATTTCTGAACCTGTTTTCCTTAGATAAAATGGAATTCCTTAGAAAATTGCACTGTGGAATTAAGTGGTTGTAGATATGGAAACAAGTTTGGTTTTTTTCTGGATTTGTTGTTGCTCTTCTGTCTGTGTATGCATGCGACCATGAGTGTGCCGGGGAAGAGTATAAACTGAACCTGGCCTGGCTGTTTCAATGTCCTTGTCAGAACTACTTTGCTGTGTTTGGGGGAACAGCAAGCTGACCTTGCTGGTCCCTGTGTCTCAGGATCGGGAGTGTCTGTGCTTCTAGTTAGGGACGCTGGTGGCTCACTCAGGCTCTGGCATCAGCAAGACCAGCCCCAAAGCTTGCTGTGTTTCAGCATAGCTGACAGAGCTGCTGCCATTCCAGCAGCCACTCTGGGTCCCTGCAGACATTTAAGTGCATCCCGGCACAACCCATGAGTCCTTTTCTCTGCCTCCCCTTGGGTTAGAAAGGCTACAAACTGGAGTGACAGAATGGCTCCTGGGCTTCCCCCAGGCTCCTGCCATCCCTTCCTCGCCTCTGGGTGGAACTCACATGATGTCTCAGATGCACTACTCCCACAACAGAGCTGTGGCAGTACGTGGTCACTGACTGCGTGGGGGGCCTTGATTCTCTCCAGTAAGGAAACCTTTAGTGCGGTGTGCTGGTAGGAGATGCTCTAGCTGCTGCACAGCCCTGCCATGTCTCCCTACTGTGGCACCTGACCGTTATGTGCTGCCTGTGACCCATCAGTTTGGGGCTTGGGGTCAGGGGTGAATCTGGCTTTGAGAGGCAGGTGATGTGGCAGGGAATTAAGCTGGAGACAAATGAGCAAATGCTGAAGATGTCTGATCACTTTGTGTGCTTCTGGATGGTCCCCCAGGAAGAGGGGGGCAGAAGGGGGAGGAGAAATCACCTTAAGCCAGTGGGAAGGGGCCATGCAATAGCAACAAAGTGAGCCTGCTCTTCTGCAAAGCCTTTTCTCATCTGAAAAACATCGACTGTAAGTTAGCAATCTCACTTTTCCATGTTTGCCTGAGAGTAAGTCTATTAAATACTCTGCATAAAATGAATGAGGCATTTGTGTAAGCAGCAGTGTTTTAAAATATGAACTAAAAACCTAGGAAGCCTTTGTACACCCACCTTTGCTATCCCCCTTTTAGCTGCTCTGAGACCCTTTCATAAAGTTCTCTTTTTACTTTTAAAAAAAAAGCATGTATTGTTACCATGTTTGTGCTCTGGGATTTTTGCTTTGCCTCACAGGGAATAGCTGGTTTTATGCTAACCCTTCAGCTTGGTGCCTGATCCTACAGTCTTCTTCCTGACTGAGGCTCTCTGATCTTACATGAGCCAATATCTTGCAATTACATTTCACAATAATTGCAAAGACAGTGTAATAAACCACAGCATAACTAGTTCTGGTGGTGGTAGAGAATTATGAGATATACTATATGAAAACAAGAAAGCAAGCTATCAGAAGTTGGTTTTCAGAGGCAGAAAAAGATTTTGCTAAAAGCCACAGTAGCATTGATGCTTTGGTCTTTTCTCTGTATTCTTTCCTTTTTTCCTCTCTCTCTCTTGAACATAGAGACATTTTAAAGCAAAGTAAGACTTTCTCATTTCTCTATATTATTGCAGGGAATATTTCTTATTGGTTCAAATGCAGTGGTTTCCTTCCAGATGCAAGATGAAAAGCCTCCAGTTTTGAGTAGGAATAGCTTCCTCAGGAACAGATCAGATGCCTGGCTAAATATTCCAGGCAGCTCTTCTAGAATGAAATCGTAGTTGTGATACAGGTGGCAACTGCATGAGCACTGAAGGTGCTTGCACTCAGTACTATTCCAGGTAGGTTTCCTTGTGGATAACAACCTTGCAGGTTGTTTTTTTAGTGATGCTCTATTGCTATTTGGAAGACTACTTACTTTCATGGGAAAAATTGTGCAAAGTGACCTGCACAGGTGTTGACTGATATTTATGTACCAACAACAGATACTAGAGCAGGAACTCAGATCCAAATTCCTCTGAATTTCAGGAATATTCCAGTCCTGTTTCTAATCTGTGCATTTTTAGTTTGTCTCTAGCAAATAGCAAAGACATTATTTAAGTATGTGTATGTAAGTATGTGTTTCTTAAATAGTTACCACAATCCTTTTCAGAGGCTGTTGCCCCCAAGGAAGTTTCTAAATATAATAAAAGGTGCCTGCATAACCCATGCAGACTTGCAAATTGGAAGAATTGTTTTGCATGTGTTAACTACACAGTAGTACAGAAAACAATCTGGAATAGTTCAGCCACCATACCTCAGTGTTTTATAATTAGTTACCTTAGTTTAGACGCCAGACAGAAAATTATTATCCTTCTGAACTGCCGTTTCCCGTTACTATTTGGCAACCTTATTTTCATTATACGCTGTAAAAAAAATATCTCTGCAAACTCTGCTAAAGAAACACAATTGTCTTAGAAAAGTAGCTAAAGCATGTGAGGGTTAAACGCAACTTTCTTCCCATAAGTGTCATTTCCCCGGCTTAGAATTCTTTAACAGATACTGAGCAGCACCGAACTGAAAGTATTTTTAATTTCAGTGCTTTGTATATTTACAGAGGGATTACAACAAACTTCTACACTTTATCTACATTTTAATAGGTCAGTGTGAACATATGAAGTGTATTAAGGTGGACTGCCGTACTTATTAAACTTATGTGAATTCGTCAAAAGCCCTCAGCAGTTGTATGCAATAGGGGCTGGCAAACCATGCATGATTGAGGTCATGCATCCAGCCAGTTTGTAAGATGATCCCTCCGTACTGAGCCACCAGCCATCCTTAGCATAGGGGCGCACTCATACACGCATTCCTGTCAAGTCATCTTGTGAAAGGCTGCTTGCTTCCAGCTTGGCTTGAAAGTGCAACCTTAATAAAACTCACTGAAGTCTGAGAGAAAATAGCAGTTCTGCAGCAGATAGTGTAGGGGAAAGAGACTGGGATATGCATATGCAGCTGACTAAAGCAGGCTACATGCTGGACTGTAACAGAGAGGAAACAATAAATCTTAACTACTATGCAATAAATATTCCCAATTTTAACTAAGGAAGCTATCCTCATAGTGAAATTAAAAAAAAAAAAACAAACCAGTTTGTCCAAGCTTGATTACTAAAGTGCGCTTCTCCAGTCCTTTTTCCAAAGACTTTAAGGGAAATTAAGAACAAATTTAAAGAAAGAGGAAGAAAAGGTTTTTCTTAACGTAGGAAAGGAAAGTAATAATAACATGTCAGTTTTCCTTTCCTTTGCTTTCCTGGCAGCAATTCTTGCTCACATAGGCTGTAATAACCCGCGTCGGGGTCCAGAAGCCAGTGGGAGAAGATTTAACCGGATTCAGCATGGGCAGTGCACCTATACTTTCATTCTGCCAGAACAGGACGGGAACTGTCGTGAAAGCACGACAGACCAGTACAACACAAATGCTCTTCAGAGAGATGCTCCTCACGTGGAACAGGATTTCTCTTCCCAGAAACTGCAACATCTAGAACATGTGATGGAAAATTACACTCAGTGGCTGCAAAAAGTAAGTGTTACTTTTTTCCTTTTCTCACTAAATGGATTTTTTTTTGGTGATTTTTATGCTGTTAGAAGTTTTCATTAGTTTCTATGAGAACGGAGACAATAAGTATTGATCTCGTTTGTGGCTGTGTAGGAGACAAATGTGCACCTTTCTTAGTGACATTGCTCTTGGGAACAGAATTTTCTTCACGTTACTGAAAGATGCAATATCTTAAAGCTTTATCTCAAGAGACTGTGGATGTTTGTGAGCCAGAGAACACAAAAATCCTCCAGAGACTCTAATGACAGAACTTACTAAGTATTCCTGTAAGCTCTACTTATAGTTCACAGCTTCAGATCAGATGCCGTGCAGGATACCTGCTCCTCTGACAGAAGAAGGGAGCATTTAAAAAAATCAGCATTTAAAGGCGCTGGGTTAAGAATATAATTGTTCCTCCCTAAACAGATCCTGTAATACTATTCTACGCAGCTAATTGCCGGAAGGAAAGAAGAAAGTACATAGACATTCACACTCTTAAAACATCATAGGAAAACTTTTTAACTGTGTAGATTACCCTGGACTTCAACCAACCTATTTTAATTTGTGTGTGTATTTATATGCATTCTTTCATAGAAAGGGAAAAATGGGTTTGAAAGTGTTGCAGTAACTTAGTAGAAGTAATTATTTTTAAGAATTTGTGCAATAGCTCTAAACATTTAATGAACTCTTCAGTATTTTATGTATGAGCTGAAGTTTGGGCTTGAATATGTGAATAATTTCACTCATATGAGCAGTTCCATTCACCTTAACAGGACTACTCACTTGTGTAAAATTACATACCTTGCAGAATGTTGTCCATGCCTTGGTAATGAAAATGCCTTGGGATAGCTGACCAGTAAAAATAAATAAACCAACAGTCTTTGTGTATAGTTATTTGTAATATCCCCATTCTCACACTGGCATTTTGACCTGGCAAAACTTAAAAAATTGAGCAATTGAGTGATGCAACTGGTCGTGTAAGATGGCACAAAAAACCTGTTGTATGTACACATTTGAGAGAGACATGATTTAATTCTAACACAATTTCATACTAAGAATGAGCATCAATAAAAATCTAGTGAAGACTCTACTGGGTGGCCTAAAAGTTCATGTTAGCATAGTTACTGTTACTGATCTCATTACAAGTTCTGTTTCATCCAGACAGAATACAAGACAGAAATATGTTAAAAAGCATATACAGCTGTCCCCATCCCCCTAACCCTACTAAAATCTTTAGAGTATTTCCTGATCTCTTGGTAAATTAATTGTGCTCTGCATATCTGGCTGTAGCAAGAGAGAAAAGACTCTGTCCAGTAAACATGTGAGTATAAAACAATATATGACTAAGCAATTCTTTTTTAGACTACTTTCCTCATTTTTTAATACCTTGGTCTGCTTTGGGAATATAAGGCTGGAAATGAGGGTATGTCTTTTCTAGAAGAAAACATTTCTTAAGAAATTATTTCACTGTACCTTGGGAGGCTGGGGAAAGTTGTTATCTGTGTTTATGCACACACGATTTTACTTGAGCAAATTGCCTGTTGAATCATGCTTATAAGGCTTCACTTATTCTGTGTTTGTCCACTAGAGACTGAACTAAGATCACTGTTTCACTGTGAATGGAACATGAAGAAATATGAGTCTCTGGAGTGTGAATGTCTGAGTTAGGGTTAGTCCTCTCACACTTGGGAGGGAAGTGATTAAACAGGTAGGAAGCCCAGTGAAAAGGGTTTATATTTGAGCCTTGTTTTCTTCTGCAGTGATTGTAAAACTGGCTGTGGGCAGAACCATCCCCCTCCTCCTTTCCTTCCCAGCCCCCAAGCCTCTGCTCCCAGGGGTTTACATAAAACTGGGATTGTGCACATATCCCCATGTGTCAGTTTTCCCTGGAATGAAAGGACCCGTTTCTCTGTGTGATGGAGTAGGGCTCACTCTGAACAAATGAGGTTGATGCAGCTCCATTAAGCATCCCTGAATACTGAATTTGCTTTGTTGCTGTTGCCATTACAAAGAATCTCAGCCATAACTCATTTCCTTTCAAAACAAGCATAATGCTTAAGTGTAATGAATATATTATGTAGATATCCCGCATATCATTTTTATACTCTGCATTTATTTTTTCCCCTGGATTTTTAATATCAGATATAACTGCTGCTATACTAAAGAGCATTTCACAATGCACCTGCTGTGAACAAAGTAAAGAATAATTAATGGTTATAGGTCTATGACTGGAAATGAAAAGTTATAGTAAGAAATAGAGTTTAAGAATTTGAGATATATTCTGAAAATATACTTATTACTTCAGGTAATAGGTATAACTTTCGTTAAAATTTTACATAGGCAACGTTTGGCAGGGTGAATTATTTCCTCAACACAAATGCTAGCCTGCAATATTGAAAGAAAGTTTATTAAGAAAGTTTGTAAGAGTCATGGTTTGCTTAACTCAGTAGTATTTTAATTTTAAAATATTTTTCTTTGATATCTAAACTAGCAGATTTCTAGAAGCAAAACAAGTGTTCTTTTTAAAAAAAAAATGCCATTTTTTTAATGCTTAAAACCGAAAGTGCTTCTTTGATGACCTACAAGCTTGACTGTAGATAAGACTGTGCTTGCTTGGGGAGCCAATTACAGGCAATTAAGTCCCAGCCTCGTCCATTAGCATTTGCATATCTATAGTCAGCATAACTGGGATTGGTTGGCAAACCAGGGACACGGCAAAATGTTCTGCGCAGAAACTACTCGGAAGAAGATGACTTGGTAAACATTTATAGAGACTTTCCTAGAACTGTTTATTTTAATACTGGATAACTTTCCCCATTGTTTAAGCTTGGGTTTCATTTCTGCAATATGTTTATACTAATAGTTCAAAACAAACAGTTCATCACATTTTCTTTCTTGCAGTAACTGACTGGCCCACGTGATACTGTTTGGTATTTAACTGCAGTGCTTAAGTATTGCCAAAGAGGGGTTACACGAAATGTTATCATCACGTCTCGCTTAGGAACTTTCTGTTAGTCAGCTTGCTGAATTTATGGTATCAATGGACTCAGTATACATTCAGGATAGCTATATCGATGTTTCATACACTTATCCCTCAGTCCAGATCGTAGTAATAATTGCTATTATAGTAATAAGTGAGTTTTACATGATCCACTCTTTCTTTTTTCTGTCCATTACTTAAGCAGAAACCATAAAAGTTTAAAATGTGTGCTTAATAACAGTATACTATAAGATGCTAACACATACAAGTTTGAGTTGAAAGTGAACCACAGTCATTCTGGTCAGCCAGTATCCAAACTTGGGTTGTTTTTTTTTTTTCCTTTTCTCTGCAAATACTGATGGCACCACTGCACTTAAACCAAATAAAGATCTTCAACTCACTTCCCTTTCCCTTCAAATTGCCTGTGCTGTCACCAGCTATAACAGAAAAAGTATAAAATGATGTGCTGGATTCAGTCGTTAAAGAAAGAAATTATGAGCATTTTTTCTGGGGTATCTGTAGCCATTTGATAGTCTACTTTAAAGTTTATTCTTACCATGGTTTTGATAAATGATGGCATTCTCTGTGCTTTCTGTTTACTTCCATTATTTTTCACAAGTAACATCACAAGTGCTTACTTGGGTTTTAAACATCCAAGGAATCTAGGGTTTGAGGTGGACCAGTCATTGTATAGAAGAAACTGGCTTTTGGAAAGACTGGTGTCTGTGGCTCCATTGAAAGTCTGCCCCTCTGCTGTCTTAACCAGCAGGGCCTAGCACCACAATGACTTAGCAATAATATGCTTAAGTGTGTGGAGTGGCTGGATTTTGCCTTGAATTTTATATGGTTTGCTGAAGATAGGAAAATTCCTTACAAGTCATTCTTGCTGTGAAGCTGTGTGAAAGTGTGACAGAGCCTTCCCTGAAGAGGACAGATCTAAAGATCATAATGTCCTATGAGGCAAATTTAAATTAATGTAGACATGGAGGTGGCCATAGTGTTTGTAAAATTTTGTCACTTTAAGAAACCCATTTTCCCTAATTGAACTATTACAAGAAATAGTAAAAATTCCATTTTATTTATGGTTATGTCTCACTGGGCATTTTGTAATGTAATATGTGACTTTAAAGTCCATGTAATATTTGGATGTTAAGTGCAACCAGGAGATCCATGATGAACTCCTGTTAATTTTCACAAATAAAAGCAGGTCATTAGATTTGGAATCTGCCATTCTGCTTGTATGAGCATTACTCACAGGGCTGTGTTAAGGAATGGCTTTTCAGTAAGCCTTTCCTTTTTCAAGGTGGACCAGGACGAAAAGGAAACAGTGAGAAAGCTTCATTTAAAACTGGCCATTAGCCTCCTATTTGGCATCCAACTTGAACCTGGGTTTCTTGTCCCAGAGGCTGTTTACTACTCTCAGTGCCCCTTTTTGCTTTGAAGTCAATGAATTCTCATATCCAAAGCAGAGACTCATCCTAGTGACATTTGAAGTGCAGTTCCCACAAACAAGCTGCGAAACAAATGGTAATGGTGGAATTCAAATTAGTGGGATTGCTTGCATAGTATGTACTACTCAGTGGGTAAGTATATATAAAAGCCAAATTTAAGGAGCAAAAATAAGTTCATGGAAACAAATGGATTCTAAGAAAATTCACGTTTGAGTGTAAAACCAAAACTGCTTATTTACCTCCAAAAAAATCTCTTGGCCAATAATATGCCTGCATTTAAAAGCTTTATTAATCAACTTGCTGAAGTCCTTGGGATATTCTGAGGAAGCCACAAGAAAGAGGCAAGACTTCAAACGTGGAAATGCCTGAAAGCTTTACATTATTGGAGGATAACTTATTTGGCTTTTTTTTTTTTTAAGAAGCAGAAAAATCAGAGAAATAGACTGAAGGACAGCCTCACACGTTGCCACATTTGGTAGCAAATTACTTAAAAAAAAATATTTCCCATGCTTAGACAGGAGACTTTATCATAATGTGCAGTAGAACCTGAATGT